CAAGGTCCTTAAATAAAAATTATCTGTTTTCATTTGGGGAAGAAGTTACTCTTGCCAAATGGAGAAGTTAGGGTCAGCTCTAGGCATTTTTTTATCTTTGTTAAGTTTATTGGAACATCTTAGGTATACCGTACAGTTACAGTCATCTTTGGGATCTTGTACCTTTACATGACGGATCTTGGTTATTATTTTTCCCCGTTCCCCAGCCCTCCCCTCAGCCCCTCCACCCTTTCCAGTTTACAAAGACATTGTTTTCATGTTTTTCCTTTTCACATATTTTTTCTTTCCCCTCCCCCTCCCACTTTCTGTACTCTTTTATTCCTTTTCTTCCTATTACACAATATCAATTATACATTTTGATTCTTATTTACACTTTTAGTTTTTTCATACCAGTGAAACAATTTGGTATTTACACATGTGACTTAATTTAATTAAGAGTATGGCCTCAGTGTGCATCCACTTAGCTATAAATATCTCTAGTTTCTTGTTCTTTATGGCTGAGTAGTATTCCATTTTATAAACACACACACACACACACACACACACACACACACACACCTTCTTTATCCAGTCTCCAGTTGATGGACAATTGGGCTGTTTCCAAATTTTAGCTATTACAGACTGTGCCACTATAAACATGGGTGAGCATAAATATTCTGAAATGCAACATTTGTCTTACTTAAAAAGGCGGCCTAGGCCAGAGATTTAGCTTGGGTTTAGTGGCTTGCCTTGCAAATGCAAGGACCCGAGTTCAATCCCCGGTACCAAAAAAAAAAAAAAAATGTGGCCTAGACTTGATTATTGGATGAGTATTTATAAATAAATGAAGCTTTTCTTTCTGGGTATTAGAACAGGTAATAAAGCCACCATAATCCCATGAGCCAAAGAAAATACTGCTTTGATACATAATCTTATAATCTTCATTTGCAAACACGTGTGTTCTGTTATGTACTTTTTCTTATAAATTTTTTGTGCCCTACTGTTGTGCCATCTTACCAAGAATAGCATTTTTCCATGTAGTTATAGAAGAACATATTCAGGAGAATGATTCATAGCTTTGATATTTAAAAGGATGGAGACTCTTCCTCCTTGTATTAATTGGTCAGGTCCCAGGCACCAGCAAGCAATTTGCCATTTGTTTCCCCAGAAAAACACTTTGTCCACAGGGAACTTTAGAAATTGGGGCCCCTCAGCTTTTCTGTCTGTTGATCAGTCTCAGTCTCGCACGTTGAACATATGTTTCCTTGTAAAGTTGTCTGAGATGTCTCAGAAGTGGCATTTGCTGCCATTGGGGTGCTAAGAGCTCACAGTGCCATCTGCAAACTCTTCTGCCTCTTAGGAAGCTCCCCCTCTTTACCCCAAATGGACAAGAGAAGCCATTAGGAAAGGTGCTGTCTCTGCCTGTATGCTTGCTACTACGATGTGACATGATTTATAGAGCACAGACCCCTGCTGCCACAGGGTGTGCAGAGTATACATTTGTCTAAGAGAAGCCACAGATGCACCACAAAGCATGGCGTAGCTCTGCCTCCCATGGCCCAGGCAGCGCAGTGTGGTATGAATTGAACTCTGCCAGGACGAGAGCTGCACCCTAGGATTGCTAGGATTGGAAATTCTTGCTGTCAGTGACCTTTGAGTGCTTTCCATTGGGCCTCCCAGCTGTTTTAAATCTTTCTGAATAGATCTGGCTAAAATAAATTATAAATTGTAATAAGGAGGCTTGTTCCAGCATTCATATTTATTAGATTTTAAGATTTAATGACCATATGGACCTAAAACAAATGTTTGATTTTTTTTCAAAAAGCAGTCCAGTGGAGTTGCTTGATTTTGACTACTTAAATATTAATTTGTGGTCATAACCCACTTTTGGCTTCTGTAAAAGGTGTGGCTTTTTAAAATGAAGTTTTTCAGCAACTAACTGGCAAGGAGGAACCTTTCCTCTCTAAGTTAAAAATAAAGATGTTCTTAATTGTTGTATATACAAGTGGGTCCATGACCTGGAACCTCTTGAATTTATCTCATGGACCACTTCCTAGGGGAAACAAACTTTAATTGTTTATCCCCGTATCTTACAGACTAGTTGTTTTTATATAGTAAACAATGGAAGGGCCATTAATTAGTGCTTGTTTTTAAATTAATGTTTTAGTCTCAGTGAGAAGTGAATGTGACATAAACCAGTTCCTCCAATCCCTCCATCCAGCCCCCAGCCCCACCAGAAACATACCCATCTTCAGAAGACCAACGCCAGTGCTGGGCCGTGTGGACTGCGTTTACCTCTGCCTCCTGCTGTACCTGCCATTATGCAGCATGCTGTTTTCAATCAGCATTGTGTTTTAGAAGCTGCCGTGTTGTTAGCTATAGAGAGGGCTCATTCCTTCTAGCCTATGAAGAGGGTTTTGTAGGTTGGTGGCCCCACAGTTTATTTGGATTTCCGTGGGACTTCCAGTTTTCCTTCACACCAGTAGTGCTGCAGTGAGCATCTTTGTGGATCCACCTTTGAGGGGGTGGGAGCGAAATGTTTCTCTGTGATTGAGAATGAAAAGCAATTTTTATTTTATACATGAAAATCTTGAGGGAGAATTTAGGACTGGCCACTTTTATACATGAGTACCAAAATGTGGACTGAACCGTTTTTCCTGACTCCACCTACCCAGTTGGGTATTACTTCCATATTGTTGTAGATTGTCCCTGGCATCCTGGGCAGAGTCAAGTTCCATGAACGCTAATAGTACTGAAACCATGCTTTTTCCAAGAAAAGCATGGTTTTCTTTTTTAAGAATGTGTGAATAAGGGGGAAATCTGAATTCTATCGCACAATGCATAATTTTGAAGTGTATTCAGTACCTACACTAATACTATAATCTGACAAAATTGTACTTATGAACCTAATAACACCTAATAATTATTTAAAGAATAAATGCATATCAGGGCCAGGGTTTTAGTTCAGAGGTTCTGGTGCTTGCCTCACAAGCACAAGGCCCCGAGTTTGAACCCCAGTACCAAAAAAATAAATAAAAATCAAAACAAAAACAATAAATGCATATCAGAATTGTTAAGTATGTTCTCATCTATAGGCAAAATATTTCTTTGACATGTTTTAATTTGCTCAAATGCTTAATAAATAGATTTCCCTTAGTTAGAGTAAGATGGGCACACCTACTTCCTTTCTGAATGATATCAGCCTAGGAAGATGAGAGAGCCAGGAATTGGGAGTGGTCTAGGTGGAAGATTTTATAACATAGTCTCCTAATCAACTGCCTTAACAATCTGGGGAAGTGGCAGTTTCCGTCTCATCATTGGAGAAACCGAGGCACAGAAGGTTTAAAAGTGATATGCTGAAGGGCCAGGGATTTAGCTCCATGGTTCCTCCCCCTGATTAACCAGCCCAAGGTCCCAAGTTCGATCCCCAGTACCAACAACAACAAAAACAGTGATATGCTGACGGCTGCTTGTCCCAGTTTGCTGGCTTAAAAGAGGAATAGTCTTACTGCTGTGTTGTGGTTTAATATTGTTCTTAGAGCCCTGACATCAGAATCCTGGGAAGATTTGCTAATATATATATATATTCCTGGGCCCTGAGTGGGGTCTCAGATTCGGTATTTCTGACAGGCACTAGGAGGGCTGCTGGACCATGCTGACCTCACTGTGGGGACGTGAGCACCCTGCCCGGGCAGCCCCACTGCCTCCTTGGATGAGTGGCTCTTGTCATGCCTGGCTTGCAGTGGGCACATCATTGCTCATCACATGGCCTCCCTCGCCCACTGCCACTGCCCCAGTCACTTGCACTGAGCTTAGCGTAGCTCGCTGCTTGACAAGTCATTTCCAGGCCAGTTGAAATCATCATGCTACATAGGAATCACTTTGAAAACCGGGTTGAGATTTCCAGTGCAGGCATCTAATCCTAAGTGTGTAGGGCACTCTACACGGATGAAATCTGCATTTTACATTCTAACCCTGCTCGAACAAAGTAACAGTAATGATGATAATAAAAGACAGTACCTCATGGAAGTGATTACTTTGGCAGCACCAACACGTGCTTTATTTTCCTTTCTCGCCTCCCTTTCCCACATTCTCCTCATGACAAATTCCCTACAAGCTGCCCTAATTGCTGCTGGCTTCCCTAGAACTGAGGACATCTCTGGTCCCTCCCAGCTCGAGGTCTCACTAGGAGCAGTGTCTGGGGACAGACAGCCAGGTTCAGATCTTCATCTCCTCTGCCTCTCCTTTCTCTTTTTCTTTCAGTTCTGTGAAATTTTTCTTTTTCACTCGTGAATGACCTTCTCCCCTCTAGGGGCTAGCTGGAGCCCTAGTCCTTTCCGGCAAGCGCAGTGGGAGGCTGCCTGGATGAGTGACAGGCACTGAGACAGACGTGTGCCCACGGGCTGGAGGGAATGGGACCAACTGGGGCTTGGGTTCATATTTTAGCTTTCTGTGCTGGGAAAAGAGCATCCGTCTTTGTTTTGATGTTGAGCTCATCCAAATAAAGAAGGCATTTCCTCGCCTGAAAAGAAGAGAAAAAAGAAGAGGAGGAAAAAATTTTAATTTTAACCATCCACTCCTTTGAAACTAAATATATACCCCTTCCCTTGCCCTGATTGGTCTGCTTTGATTGACAAGTGGATCATGTGGAAAGGAAATATCTTGGACTTAATTGTAAGTTAAGTCTCTCTTAATCCAGAAGAGCATTTGAGATTCCGTCCAAGTGTTCAATTTCCCAGGCCGCTGAGGTCTGTGAATTTCTTTTCCCAGCCTCCAGGCTGCTGCAGTACAAGTCAGCATAGCTAATGCAGATAGATCTCCTGCCTCTCGCTCTCCTCCTCCCTCTGCTTTGATTCGATATGAACAGCCTGGTAACTCCGATGCTGGGGAGAAAGAAATCTGACATAACTCTGCAGATGGCTAGGTTGCCGTGAAACACCTGGGGATTGTTCTTTAAGAAAAAGGTAACATTTATATGCTAATGATTTCTTCCCCTCCCCTCCTTGTTGCATATTTTTCAGGGCTTCCTGTTCCCAAGAAGAGCCCCAAGTCGGTAAGGACTTGTCAGCTACTTGGTGATTGCTCGGGGTGGGAGGGGACGCTGTCCGGCTCTGCTTCACTGAATGTGTTTCCGAGTGGTTGGGGAGAGGATCTGGGGCTCATTTTATTAAGTTCTGGGGATCTGTTTGGTATAGATGGTATTTGGGCTTGTCTTTTAACTGTGAGGATCTGTGAGCAGGCTGTAGGATCTAGAATAAAGAATGCATGTTTTGGCATCTTTGCTACACAAATATATCATCACAACTCCTTCAAATGAATGAGTTCTTTAGCTGTTTTAACTTGATGTAAATGCTATTGTTTCCTTTGAAAAAAAAAAGGGGGCTCCACCTGCTCTCTGAGTAGCACTGCTCTCAACTGGTGTCCCTGCCGGTTCACATGGCTACTCGTCTTCTCCCTGAGCTTTCTTATGCTTTCAGTAATGAATTATTTACTAAATCAAAAGCCTGGAGTCTAGGAAGGATTGCGCTGCCATGTATATATGCCCATGTTCAGGTAGCAATGTTCACTGCCCCAACACCAACAATAAGACATTTCTTTGCTGTGAAAATGCCCTTTGTTGTTTTGCTAGCTTTAGCAGCATTATGCTGCAGGTATAGGATTTTTTTAAAAATCAATGTTTTGCTGTCCTTTCTAATCTGGTTTCCCTGAAGATGCATTACCTCGTTGACATGTTAGCTAATAGCTTAGAGGCTATAGTGTTTTGCATGGTAGTATGGGCTCTTGTTCCCTGGGCACTAACAACAAATTAAAATGCTACTTAAAAACTCAAAATCTGGAACTCGGTTGCCTGTGAAATTGATCTGGGTGGAAGAGGCTTCTTAATTCATTAACCTTAGGATAAAGAAGGGTGCTGCATTGTGGCTTAGAAGATTGAGGGGAAGGTAGATTTACAGCTTTGTGCCGTCCAAAAAAGAAAGACCTTTAAAACTTTGCAGCTTATGGAGCTGCAGCTGAATTCTTTCCACCTGTCTGTAAGCATGGCAGCGAGAAGCAGAAGTTTATTAAGGAGACGAGAGGGGGAGCTTCCTGCATTCTGAAGCCTTGCTCCTCCTAAGTTCTCCACAGAGGAAAAACCTGCAGTATGGATGTGATTCCAGTAGCATAGCACCCTAGTGACTGGAAGGTTAACTTCGGGACTCATCCCTGTCAGTTTGTGTTAATGCCCAAGCAGGAAGGCGCTGGTCGGTGCCCACACTGGAACTGTGGCGATAACAGAGCACGTGCATGCACACTCGTGGCTGTGTTTCCCACTCAGCCCTCAGAAAGCTGGAAGTGAATCTGGGAGCTCATGGGCCATCCTTGTTTCTCCCCTCACACACACTCGCAGCCATGCTGTGTGGGGGCCTGGACTTACTTTACGCCTCATGGGGGTAGAGTCTTGGCAGGGGCGTTCTGGAGAGCGTGGCCATTCTGCACAAGCAGCGCGACATGACATCAGGGCACAAGGTGTTCTTCGTCACTTTACAACCTGTGTAAATTTACCACGCTGAAGGATTTTTGTAATGCTCGCATCCCCTCTTCCCCAAAGTGTTTTGGAATTACCTGGTGAACTCAAGGGACATTAAAGAAGTGTAGAGCCAGTATTTCTCAAGTCAGTTAAGAGTTTATGACAGTTTATTTTTGTAGAAGCCATGTCATTAGCAAGCAGCAAGCCAATTACTCAGGCTGCACTCCTAGGGAAAGTACTCTCCTAACTGCTTTGCCCACAGTCTGCTGGCTCTTAATTACCACAACCCCAGAGTGGTGTGCTGCTGGATTCAAAGAGAACAGGCGCCCAGCTCTGGGCTTATCTTCACAAGCTGCCTATGCCAGGACAGGGACGTGGTTTTCATGGCACCACTGGCTCACTTTGGCTGCTGCGGCCCAGAATGTGGGGACTGTCAGTCAAGGTCTGCTGTGGACAGCAGGGCGTAGCCAGCGCCTGTGATCAGTGAGAGTCCGTACAGGTGGGTGGGAAGCTGTTTCCCTTTCCCAGTTTGCACGTTACTTATGTCCTGCCAGAGAGACAGATGATTATATTTTTCTGGTGGGGATGGTAGGGATCCTTGGAGGAGCTGTGAAGACAGTAGATGGGGAAGGAACATGTGTACTGCATGTGGTTGTCCTCTTGCCTCTCACCTCCCTCAGCAGCCCATGTTCTCCTCAGAGAACCTCTCATGCCTCAGAATGAGGATTCTCTATTGTATTAAATTTCCTCAAAGCATGCAGGATGAACTAAAGTGTGTTTCATAGCCATTTGATGCATTCCTCCTCCATTAACCCCTTTCATCTACCTTACGGGAAGAAATAGTTTGACTCAGACCCATACGTAACAGAAGAAAGGCAGAGAGGACCCGCACCCTGAGCTTGGCGAGGGTCTGCATCTCGGATTGCTGCACACTGCTGGCCTAGCCTCTCATCAGCGCTGGGAGCTTTTCTTGTTGTACATGTAAATTGCTGCACTGGCCTTGGGTCTTGGCGGATACTTGAACTGTAAATAATTTTGCTTTAAAATTGATCAATTTGTCATTTTTAAGCCACATGAATTCTTTTCATCATTTAAGCTCCTAAGTGCTGTCTGTATTCATTTGGCCTTCTGAGTAAATATTTTCAGTTCACTTTATAAGTACCTCCATTTCTAAATCAGTCTGTGAAATACTGATGAGAGGATTTTTCTCCCGTTTCCAATTCTTAAAACCATTGCATCTTCCCAATTTTCCTATCCTGACAGCAAGTAGTATGAGAATCATTCATTTCAGGGAGGTTAGTGTAGGTTTATTTTTAAAAGATCTTGCAATACATGTTTATGGCCATTGTATAGCCAAGGAATTTTTTGGAGGTTTTAAAATTCAGCCCATTTTCTTCCTAGTTGGCTGTTATTTCAGACTCAGAAATAAAATGCTTGCTTCAAAAATCCCAGCATAGTGACAACGGCATTGGTGATATCTCTGCCAACACGGGGTACCCTCTTCCAACCATTCTCTCCGGATGGAGACTTGGGGTCTCCTTCCTCCTCCTCTCCAGTTCACACTGTCAGTGATTCCTATTGAATCTGGCATCAAAATGTCTTCACCTCGCTGCTCCTGACCTCAGCACCACTCCTGTCCTAGCACGAGCTGCCTTGGGTCCCTCGGTGGACTCGGGAATCACCTCCCAACTGTCTGCCTTCACATCTTTCCCCACCTTTCTGTTCCTCTGAAGAGCCAGACCAAACTCTCTAGAAACACATTGGCCCTTAAATCTTCCATACTTAAGTGCAGGAATGGAGTCTGCAACATACTTGCATCGTTAGGCCTCCAGGTTCCTTTCAGGCCACCCCATCCCTCTACTATGCCATGTGACCTTTCTGGTCCTCAAGTAATCCAAACTCGTTTTTGTTTGGGGGACTTAAGACAGGCTGTGTCCCTTAATGCTCTTTCACGGGCTTCTCTTTACCTCTGTCTCAAGGACAGTACAGTTACGTTAATACCTGGCTACTGTCCATCTCCACACATCAGGTGTATACTGAGGTATCAGTTTTAGAGGCCAGGTATCCTTAGTATCCAGCCACCAAGGATGATGGTCAGCATGTATTTGTGGAGTGCATAAATAAGTTTCAGGCAATCACTGCAGGAGGGTGCAGGCTAATTCTCCCTTAATGTACTAGGCTTTCTCTCCATTCGTGTTCTTAGTGTGCACAGGGCTCTTTGAGCAGGCTTTGAGAGTTCTTTAACTATAGCTGCTTGTCTTTGTCCAGGGCCTCACCTGGAAAGATGAGGTGAAAGACAAGCACAGTAGCTGCAGATCTGACCCTGCACTATATCTAATTCAGAGAAGAGGTTACTTTCACTCTCCAAGTCTGTAAGGGGATGATCCAGGCAAGACTAATTTCTAAGATACGTAACAATTCTGGGCTTTAACACATAAAAGACAATTTCATAAATACTTCGCATGTTCAAACAATAAAAAGCCATGTTTTTAACTTTTATATATACACTTTTATACACGTAGCGTAGCTTCACAAAACCAAGAGTGCCAACAAGATGTTCAGTACAGAACGCATCTTCAATTTAGGGGTTTTCATAATTGACTTTGAGAAGGATCATAAAGTGAAGCTAAGCCTTACCAAGACAAAAATCAGATAGTGAGAGTAGCCCATGAGTATGCCATTTGTGAATGCCAGTTAGGGACGGAGTAGTAGTGGCAGCTTTTGGAGGACATTCTCAGGATACTCTTTTACTTTATTTTCCAAATTGAAGGACAAAGTTTAGATGGCATTTAAGAGGGACTCAGAGGGGCAATATGACTGAAAAATAATTTTTCAATCTCGTTCCAGATTGTATGTGTCATTTTGTGTTAAATTGGACCTAAATGAGTCATTTACCGCGGAGGTGAGAAAGGCTGTTATAATTTGAAAAGTGGCCCGAGCATTTGCAGTAGACTTGGTTTGCACACTCCTTTTATGGGGGTGCCATCTCTTTAGTGATCGTCTGTGTCTGAGATTTGTTAGACCAGGACAGACATCATGCCGGGTCTGTCACATGTGAGGATCTGCATAGAAAAGCCTGGAGGGATTTCCTGCAGCAGGAAAGTCCAGGGCTTCCATCAGACCCTTCAGCGAGACAGGGTTGCCGGAAAGGTGTTTCTGTAGTTCAGGAAAACCAGTGGAGTCAGTGCCCAGGCAGGCAGTGGGGCACAACTGCAGAGTGGCCCCCCAGAAGAAACAGCAGTACAGGAAGGAGCCCTTCCTTGGGTCCTCCTACACTGCAGTTTCAACACAAAGAATGAAAGGTTCAGGGTTAGAGTCTTTGTGGAATGAATTCAGAGTTGGCGGACCTACCCTGCAATCAGGTATCTGTCACTCATTTGAGAAAATAAAAAAAAGAGGGTGGACATTTGTAGCATAGTGACTTTCAGGGCAAACCCAGAGGTCATTATTAATTATCTGCTTTTACATTTAAAATACCCTACCCTTCCAGCGAAAACAGAAAGTGACAGCTTCTCTTCATTCTATTTTCCAGAGTTCATTTCAGTAGGAACTCACTCTTGGGGAAGACACGGAGGCAGGCATAGTCCATTCTGTTTCAGGTCTTGGCGATGCTAATTCATGCAGGTCTGAGCAGAGCACTTTTTCCTCAAAAGAGTACAAAGGCGATGTGGTATAGTGATGGTGTTTGCCCCCAGCCAGATGACAGTGTGTTTTCCTGCCATCTTCACCAAAATGTCTCCTCCCCTTCAATCTGATTGAATTCAGCCCTTCATACAGTTTTACCAAGCTTAGAACAAGGTCCTCAAATCTTCCACAGACAAACCAAGTATCGTTTTAAATTTCCTATCTTGCCTTCATTAAATACATGGGCAGTTTTCTACTCTGGATACTTGCCAAAACCTGTAGCCAAATCTGTAAGAGCCAAAAGCAGATGTAGTCTCTGTCCTTCTAAAACTGTCTTCAGATACTTGTTTCAAAGCAAAGACTGGAAGGGGAGGAAGTGGAGGAACCTGAAAAAGAAATCGTGTATATTTCTAGTGGAATTCCAGGGGAAGGGAAGCCTGAGGAGTCCTGGGGAAGAGAAGAATGAAGACCTGTCTGGACAGGACTGACTGTAACACCTGGTGGAAGAACTTCGGAGAACTGGAACGTTTGATGTGAAGAGCTTGTAGCGTGCTTTAGAAGTATAAGGTGTACAGCGCTTGTAGGAGGGGATGGAAATGCCTCTCCTTTCTACCAGCCCCTTGCCATGCTCTTAAGCAGGGAGTATAGTGACAGAAAAGGTAGGGTTACAGGATTTTCATTTTGGATTGGGGAATCTGTACACCTTGGATTACCACAGTCTTTTACTGAAAAACTACAGTTACTTTTTTCCTACCCAGTATTTTTCCTCCTGGTGTATGTTTTGCTCTTTGTTCAGTCACCATTCGAAGACCATTTCATACAGTAGTGAGTGCCTTTGCTGAGCTAGTTTTAGTGAACAGCAACTTGCGTACTATGTTAAAATTAAGTGGGAGTCCCCTTTGAACATAACTCACACTCTGGGCACAGTGCAAGTCTAAGAAGGCTGACCTCCGAAGTTAACCCGTATATAAAGCTTGATTTTGAATTTCTACCAGTAGTGGTATCAGCACTTCAGAGGGTCAGTACAATACCTGGAAAATTGATTAGGTAGGAGTTACAAAGGCTCTGCACTTGATAGGTATTTATCTACATATAAGTACGCAACACACACACAAGAGGCCATGTAAAGATCAGACCTCTTCTCCTGGGCTCTGACAGACCTGTGGTGAGGAGTTGGTGTTTTGTTATTGAAAGATACAGCACATGAAGCCTCAAAGAGCTCTTTAGTCCAGTTGTATTTCTTCTGGATATTATAGTCTTACATCTAAACCATGCCTCATATTTTGTGTCACATATTTTTCTCAAGAAATGAGGATCTTAAAACGATGCACCTTGCAATAAAGAAACCTGGTGTCTCAGCTGAGAACCTATGCTGAAGATTGGATTTTTTTTCTGCTACAGCCCAGAGAGCAGCGTGGCTTGAGTCTGTCTTTCTGTCTGGCCCACCCCTGCATCTGTCTGCCAGTCACTCAGGGATTTATCTGCACTCAGCATTAGTGGAGAAAGGTGGAAACCAAAATGCTGTTGATGTGTTTATGTACGTGAATGCAGAAGTGCTGAACAAAGTCGAGTTGGGGAAATAGCCTCTCAGACCAGTGTAATCTGTTCTCCACCCTCTCGCTTGCTTGCTTGCAGCAACCACTGGAGAGGAAAGACAGCCAGACTAGCTCTCAGCACAGTGTTTCCAGCCACCGGAATCTGCACACAGCATCCCCGAGCCACGGCACGCAGGTGCTCCCCGAATACCCACCTGCAGAGGCCCCTGCAGCCGATCAGACCGACAACTCTGGGCAGAAAAAACCGGATCCTTTTAAAATCTGGGCCCAGTCTAGGAGCATGTATGAGAACCGACGTGAGTAACCCCTGCTCCTGCGCCCCCAGGCCCCTCCCCCGGTCTCCAGCTTTCTGTGTGGCTCACAGGGAAGAGAGGACAGGGACAGCAGGAGGAGAGGCGAAAGCTTCTCAGCAAGTGGAATCGCTAGACACTCATGGAAGTTCCACTGTGCCTTCGGTCTGGGGAGGGCTAAGAACTGCCAGTCATCAAATGCAAGGTATACAGAATAGGTAAGAGGGGAGGGAGAGGCCTTTCCTGTCCACCAACCTTTGGATAAAGAGTGATTCCGTTTTCTCTTCAGTTGAAAGCAGTGCCAGAGAAGAGCTGCTATATCATTAATTCCTCCCTGAGGGGAGATCACGGTTCCCTCTGAATCTGAGTCTTGGAAATTACTCTGATATATGATAGGTTAAATTTTATTATATGAGTAATAAAGAAAAATGCTTTCTGAATGGTCTCTTGGGTTTAAAAATAACATTAATTTTTTATTATTATTAGTCTTTCTAAACATTCTCAAAAAGTGAAAACAAATATTAGTGGGTGGTTTTCACTTTAAATTTTGTAGAGTGGTTAAGTGTGTTCTCTGGTTTTACCTTTTCTATAAAAAATATTAACCTAGGGCTGGGGATTTAGCTCAGTGGTTCTGCCACCTGCTTTGCAAGTGTAAGGTCCCGAGTTCAATCTCCAGTACCCCCCAAATAATATATTTTAAATTATACAGACCCTTCATGTTTTTAAATTAAATTCCTTCTTTTTCTTATGGAATGATTGTTCACTATAAATGATACTCACTTACCTCACCAATGTAAGTTCCTGAACTGCTAGAATTTTAGGAGGTGCAGACTGGTTGGTGTTCAGAGTATAGCTGTTCCTTGTGTTCTGAGTGTGGCTGGTCAGGAGAACCACCTGGGACTTTCTCCCTGTCCTTTTATCTTGTTGTCATGGGAAGGAAGAGAGTGTGTCCGGTGGGGGCTGCTGTGGAGAGGGCTGAATGAACTGTCCCTGCCGCTCCTGGGCAAGGGTTCTGTCCCTAACCACAGCTGTGATCACCTCTCAGACAGGGCCTCACAGAGGGTCTTCATTACAGCAGTTGGTGAGGGATGGAAGCACCCAACCTCTTGCCCGTCACTGCACCGTGTTCCTTTGGTGCCTGAAAAGTGAGTCGAGAGACTACAGCTGCTCTGTGACCCAAGAAAGAAGGAGCCTGGGGCCAGCACTCCTGGCTAAGAGGAATAGTCAACTACACCCTTGGGCAAAAGTCAGCAGTATGGGCCAAAAGAGACCAAAGTTGCTGAGGGAACCCACCGTGCTTTTACCCTAGCAGGACAAATGCCACCCTCTTACTACCACAGTGCATGCTGTTAATTATGCTATGTTGGCCAAGTGCTACGACGCTAACAAAGTCCCACTAATCTGCAAAGGGATTTATTCAGTCTCTGGACTAGAAAGACACTGTGAAGTATCCTGGAGCCAAGCTGAAGAAAAGACATTCCCTTTGGGATGTCCCACATGGGCAGTAGACCCAGGCACAGGCTGAGCATCCTGTCCCAGAATGCTTGAGACCAGAAGTATATGGGATTCCTCAGATTTTAGAATATTTTCATACAAGTAGTGAGGTATCTTGGAAATGGAACCCCAGTCTAAACAGATGCCTTTATGTTTCATATATACCTTGTAAACATAGCCCAAAGATAATTTTATACAATATTTTAAATAATTTTCTATATGAAACAAAGTTTTATGGTGTGGAATTTTCTTTTTGGTGCCATGTCAATACTTTAAAAGTTTCTAGACTTTGGAGCATTTCATATTTTGAAATTAAACGTATTTAACTGGTATAAGCCTGAGGTCCATCCTGTGTCTTTTCCTGAACTGTAGTGATTTCATTAAAAACAAAAAACTGCATAAATGTTTTCTGAAGGGGAATGTTTTCATACTCCCTTCACATTTCTTCCTAGCCATGTGACTTCTCCAATCAAGGGCCTGACTTCAGCGGATTTTAAGATATTGCTTTATGGACCATGTTTCTGCTTTCCTCAGGACAGTACACATTTATGACTAGGCTTTCTGTGTACAAATATTCTTTGGATAAAATAAATCAGGCTCTGAAGTGCTGTGAGGGCCTCCTGAACAGGACAGTTCTCATGCCTTGTTCAGTAGGAGGCTCCCGCTCATTCACCCTGATTCAAGCAGCACTTCTTAAAAGTCTGGAATTTTCATCAAATTTTTAAGGTGGTTTTCCTTAAAGAAAGAAAGAAAAATATGGGATGTGGCCATAGCCAGCTTCTGTAAACGTGGAAATTGCTCAGTTAATAGTCACACTGAAATATTTGGAAAGGCTTTACTTTTGTTTCTTTACTTTCTTTAACATGTCAGGAATCAAATATAACAACACACATGAGAATCAATTTCCTTTGGTTATTGGAGGCTCTGTAAGTGAGTCATAGTGTATCAACCTAATTGATGTTAAGATTCCCATGGATTTCTTCCTCAGTGCTAAGCGAGCATAATGATGAGCCCCTTGACCCATGGTAACTATTCAGTGTCTGATCTTTCTTCTCTTCATAGTACTTAACAGTGAACCCACATTACTCTTGTCTTTCAGTCAGTATTTTGCTTTATCCCAGATCAGTCTTTGCCATTTCCCTATGCTGTTTTATGTCTTCATTGTATATCCTTGGTAAATGTGATCCTCTGCCCCTCTTCATAATAAAATGAACAAAGTACTCCAGGAAAAACAAGACAGGAAAAGTTAGCAGAATCATCTTGTACCAGTTATCTACTTTGGGTTGAAAATATGTTTTCTTTATGTATCCATTTTATTGTTAAGGGCACTGTGAATATAAATGTATTTCTGATCACAATCCTTCACATGTCCTAAATGTTTTAACGAATACCAAAACCTCACAGGGCCTTTTGCCAGCAGTATCAGAGTGGCAAAATCTGAATTACAGATGTGTTAAAGAATCCATTTGAAGAGTCTCGGTGTTTAATAAAGACAAAGGCAAGCACTGACAGCCTTTAAAAGCCCTGTTTGCTATTCTGTATTTTCTCCAGATAAAGTAGCAATTGTGCACAAGTTTTTAAAAATGACATTGAGGCAGTCTTGTTAGTAATGTTCAGGAACATCAGCCAGTATCCTGTATGAGCTGATACAAAAGGAGTTCAGAAGCTGTAATTTTGGAAAGGAAAAAAGCTCAAAGCTGTCACACTAACCAACACTGCACGTCTGTCCTATGCTAGAGAGCCCTGCTTGGCAGCTTGGAATTGGTGACCGAGCCCTTTTATTGTAGTGCATTCAGAGAGCTCATGTGTACTTCTGGGTTTAAAGAGCTATGATGACAATTCTCATCTTTGTGTTTGTTCAGATGTTGGACAGATCCAATAGTTTATGCTTCTAAATACGAGAGTCTTCTGCTTTGAACTGCCTGGAATTCACCTGGACAAGCAGCACAAAATCAGTTCCATCCAAAACTTGAAATTCCCTTAAATAAATGCTGTAGCAGAGTGGTGGAGTAGGGAGTAATTTAAATCTACTTAAAATTTTTTGAAAAGGCAATAAGGGTTTAGACAAATCTACAGTTCATGACATGATTGAGACAAGGTCATTTGACAGTATGTACTTTACCCTCTAAATATGAAAAGCTTAAGATGGTAATGGGAATCATAGGAAATTCTGAGTAGTACAATTATAAATTCTAACTTTTTGACAAGTAAAGCATAATGGAAAAAAAGGAAGAAAAAAATGGAATGCAACTAAGGCATAAAATCCTTAGCAGCTGTGACCTTTATTGTGAAAGCTGAATTGCATATCCCCTTATCAACCACAACTAAACTAAATTGTGCTGTGAGAAAAAACATACATTAAGGTTTGCAAAATTGTGAAATTAATATTCCAGCTATGTCACCTTCGCCTGCATCGGGATTGAGCAAGGGTGAAAGAGAGAGAGAAATCAGCTCCACGAATTTTGGAGAATGTTCGAGTAAGGCACTGCCGCGAACCTGTTTCTCCCTTATCATTCGTCCTGTGCACTGTTCCATCAGTCTGGGGCCTGGGGAGGAGTCAGGGAGGGGATAGAAAGCCATGGAGGGACGCATGTGGGTGCTGTTGTTGGCCAAGCAGAACCCAAAGGCAGCACGAGAGGAGGAGTGGCACGCATGTCGTCTTCCGGTCTGGAATTGTGAGTGTCTGTAGCAATGGAGACGCCAGGAGGTGTCTTCAGAACTGGCGGCCCCACTGTTCCAACTGTCAGAGGAAGTCTTTTGACTACTTTATCGAATTGTTACTGGCATTGCCAAAAGGAGGTTTGCTGGTAACATGGTGCCCTGTGAGAGGACCTAAACATGAAGATGACTGGACAGGATTTTCTTAGCTCTGTCAGATTAGCCTCGCTACATAAATAAATACTAGTATCGGGAAAAACAGCTTAACCTCACTGCTTCCTAACAACTTAATTCTAATAAAATCTGTTTAAATTAAAGAGGAGAACAAGCTGTTTATAGGAATGGCATCAGAGGAGAGAAATTTGACAATCTTTAGCACGTTTTAGTACTGATGCATCACCAAAGGTACATATCGAGTCAGTTGGTGGCAGAGCAAAACAGTTTCAATTCCAAAATTAAAGTGTCAAAAGACTTTCTTTGTATCTTGCATGTGTGTCTGTGTTTGTATCTGTTTTCCAGCTCATTTCTAGTGTCTTTAGTGCTCTGAGCATCATTGGGCATCTTTCTTTTCAGTAGAAAACTCTTTAAATACATTTGCCATCTCCTCATTGATTCTTAGAAGGAAACAAATGCTTTCTTCCTGTGGGCTAGACTGTGATGGGTCTGAGTCTGCTGGCCACAGCCTCCCAGGCCGTGGAGCTGACATCTGACATACAGCCTGAGGCAGCACCTTGCCACATTTGGCATCCCTGTGGGGTGAGCAGATGCTCCTATGTTAAGTGGTGCTGGGGGAGAAGAATCTGTGGGAAGTCTCTGCAGAGGTGCCTTTGCTGCTCACAGAAAGACTTCATCATCCTTGCAGGCTCCTGACAGTCTGCCAGCAACCCGGTGCTAGCTGGAGAGCAGCAGTGGTCTGTTAGGGTAGTAATCTTGCTGCTTGAATGGACCACAGATGACATACACTTGATTTAATTTGTTATCTCAGTGCTATTACAGCAGATACCTTTTACCCAGCTACCCACACAGGAAAAAAGATATCGTTACCTTACTCTGCTCAGGAAGATGTCACTACCCAGTTGTTCTTATAGGAGTCCTTTGATGTAGCTGAGTTCATGTTCCATTGTGTTTTGCTGTTTAGCCTCAACAATTGTAATACAAAAGATTGAGTGAAAAGCACCTGCTTAAAGCCGTAGCATTAAGACAGCTCAAGCCAAAATGTGTCATAGTCAGACCAACAGCCACCTGACTGGTACTATCCATTCTGTGTCCTCCGCCTTGTTACCTTAACTCGCTCTGCGCCCTGAGCCGTGGGTGACTTTTAAAGAGGGACATCTCTCACCAAGTTGAACTTGAAATAGCCTTCTTCTTCTCCACTAGCCCAATGTAGAAAATTGGAGAAAACAAGCACTAAATTTTCAGGCCTATACATTCCTTTAGCCCAAAATCCAATTAATTAAACACACCAAAAATTATGCAGAATACTATTTTAAAATCTCCTTTACGATTCACTGCAACTCAATGGTACTTGTTCTCCATAAGTAAAAGCTATGGCACTTTGTGGGCTATAAAACACCCTACGTATACATGAAAATATTAAATAAGAATTAAAAGAACCCTCTTTGCTACCTTAGTGAAGTAACAGAGGGATATTTAGAAAAATTTGTGTACAGGAAGCATTTTCTTCTAAAAGTTTCTTTTTAAAAATGAGATTTTTCATTTTGAAGCCCGGGACCATCACTAAATGTTAAAGATAAAATGGCAAATTAATACTAAAAATTAATACTTGCAATGTTGAAATATCATAGATTCTGGAGTAAAGCAGTCATTTTAGCAATGAGGTGTGATTAGTTCACATAGAAAGCTTGTCATCACCATTGATCTTAAGAATGTGGAAGACTGGCTCTTGTTTTTTGTGGAAATGGTAGGCTTGCTTTTCTTTTTTCTGCCATGTTGGGAATTGAATCGACATGTAGGGCCTTCCATGTGCAATCTAAGCATTCCACCACTGAGAGTAAATGTTTTTCACCAGAAATGATCTAATAAATCTAATTCCTAGTCTTAGTGTTAGTATTATCTTAAAGAGGAAAAGAGACTTAACAATAAAGTATGAACTCCTTTTAACCCAAGCCGTTTCTTTCCATCCTCAGTTGATAAAACATCAGTTTAATTTAGTTCATTCCCCTTGCAGCAATACTGACAAAAGCAGCCATAATGGCCTGGACTTGATTAGGGATTATCAAACCAGTGGCAGTCCTTTGAAGAACTGCAGGGCTCTGTAACTGTTCCCACTGTTTACTTGTACCCAATGTTACCTGTCATTTCACCCATCCTCATCCCTTTATTTCTCTGTGTTGGTAAGCTTTCATCTGCTCAAATGTCAGCAGTCTTGGTCCTGTAATCATGTTCATTTTAGTGGCATAGTTCCTTTTATCAGTGAAATAATGTGTCCCTCTCCCTCTTCTGCAGTTCCGGATTACCAAGAACAGGACATCTTCCTCTGGAGGAAAGAAACTGGATTTGGATTTAGAATTCTAGGTGGAAACGAGCCAGGGGAGCCTGTGAGTTTTTTGTCTGCTTCTCTCTCTCTCTCCACAGTGTTGTTTGCTAAGACTAAAAAGCAGATTGGTGGTAGTGACAGATCACCAGGATTGGTGCACAGCCCTGGTTCTTTGTCTGAGTAGTGTGGACTTGCTAGAAGAAGGGACAAGATGCTTTCTAAAGATTGTGTTAGTGTTTATGGAACACAGCAGCTGTGGCATCTGGAGGCCCCGACTAAGGAAAAGGGAAACAGCAATAAGAAAGGTCATGGTCCATCCCCTGGGGCCAGCTCCGCTGGGCCTGTCAGGTGGTAGGTCCTGCATGCTGGGGTGATGCTGCTCATTCTGCCTCGAGAGGCACCGAGTGACGGAGAAAGCAGGATGCTCTCCTTACAGAGAAGTAGGGAACCAACCCACACGCCCAGTGACTTGGGGCAGCCTCCCTGGGCCAGCCTCAGATTTAGAATAAATTCAGCATGGCATGGCAGCATTCCTTTGAAAAGGGCAGCAAGAACTAAAGATAGCTGTTGCTGATTCCTTTGTGATGTTAATAGCTGTTATTTTTTGACATTGACCACTGAATATGTGCCAGGCATGATGCTCAAGACTTAACAGACATTGTCTCATCTGTCAAATCTGTGAATTTATCCCATTTAATTCAGAAAGACACAAAAAGGTTGATTAACTTGCCCAAGATGACAGACCTAGTAAAAGCAAGGCCTGATAGAAGTCCAGTTTCAGATCCCCATCATTAGCCACTGTTATGTCCACGTTTCTTATGAACTCTAAATATCCTGCAAAGTGGACTGTAGCAGTTTTTATCTACTGAGAAGGCAGGCAACACAAATACTTTAGGTCAAGTTTAGTGACTGGGAAATGCAGCAGCGAATCACTAAACACAAACATTTCTCGGCTTTCAGGTGTGAAAAGATTGCAGTAATGGGGATGTCACGGTAGATTTTGCTTAATTAATTTATCTGACGACACTAACTGAGCATTCCCTGTGGCTAGGCGTGCCACTAGACCCTTACAAGTAATACTTTAAGAGTCAGCAGTTTTATAAAAGGAGGGTTTTTTCGGTAAAGTTGAAAGGAGGAACATTTTTATACATGAAGGACTAAAGTGACCTATGTCTTCAAGGGGAAACAGAAAGGAGCCAGCAGTAGAACACAGATAAACATCAAGGGATGCAGCAAGAGACCTTACTGTTTTAAAAACTGTCACAGCACCTAGTGTGATGCTTTGTACGTAGCGGGCGCTTACTAAATGTCCGTGGCATGGGTGAAGACAGGAACGAATGGATGAATGAATGATTCCTGAAGACGTGAAGGCCATCAGTTCAAGTAATCCAGGAGGGCGCTATTTCACCCGTCATCCACTTGCCCCACAGATTTATATTGGTCACATCGTACCCCTGGGTGCTGCTGATACGGATGGCCGCCTGCGGTCCGGTGATGAATTGATCTGTGTGGATGGCACACCAGTAATTGGGAAATCACACCAGCTCGTGGTCCAGCTTATGCAACAAGCAGCCAAGCAAGGCCACGTCAACCTCACAGTGCGGCGGAAAGTGGTGTTTGCCGGTATGTTTTTCCCTCCTCCCTTTCGACAGTGCACTGTCACTTTTGTGTCTGCCTCAAGCTTCTGCCTTCACAAATGTTTGCAAATGTGATCAAGCTCAGAATTCCCAGATGGTTTGCTTCTCCCCAACCCTGCAAAACTGCTGTCATTCGAAAGTACTTTAATGTGCAGTTTGCATGTGTTCAGCAAAGGATTCTCAAAGTTTGTTGAGTGTGTATTACCTGCCTCCCCTCCAGCCAGAACTCGGCCACCCTCTTCATGTTGTGACAATTCTCAACAAAAGAGGGTATCAGAGAAAAGTAATAACTTCAAATTAAGTGACAAAAGCAGGTTTGTACTGTAAAAAATGCTCACAAAATAGTCTTGTCTTACCTTGCTGTGTTTATGAAAACCAAGCTTTTCTTTTTCCCCTACAAGAAAGCCAGGACACCAGTCGATGCTAGGCCATCTCTCTCTCTCCTTCATGCTTTCTGCAAGCTTCCAGCCTGATTCTTAAGACATGACATTTCCTTTCAGGCGAGGCTCGCAAAGAACCTTCCTTCCTCCAGCGGTCTCTCCTTCCTCCCAGTGCCTCGATTTTAGCATTTCCTCCTTGCCATTCCTGGGACTCACAATTTACTTCTGTATCGGAGTCCACCAGTGGAGACAACTGATTGTGTAAATGTCTGTCCTTTCTGTTGTCTTATCAGCTTCCAAAAAGCATGTAACTTAACTGTGCAGATTTGTATGTGGTCCCCAGAATGTAGAAGAAATTAAGTGTTGTATCAATGGAAGTACTGAAGAAATATCGCGTGAAATATTATGAATTCTCCATAATATTAATAGTAGTGTAATGAATACCTATCAGATAAAATTAGTAACTTATTCTTTAAAATAACTAATATAAAGCCTGTTTTAAGTGCTATGTAATTAGTTACAGAATTAACATACTAAACTGCAGTATGAGAGTCCTACCTACTGCAGCTATGGAAAACAGGGCCAGTCAACCCTATCCGGTGTCCCTAGAGTTCCTTCACGGCTGCAGAACCGTCCTAACACAGTACTTCAAACAGCCAGTGGCACTCGGCTAAAGCAGGATTTTCAGATGAGTTGAAAATGACTTGACCTCCTTGACCACATAAAAATAGTAAGGCAATGTGATTTTTTGTTTTGTTTTGAACCCTTTTTTAAAACCTTAGTCTTTCGAATTTCTGGCTTTTATGTAAAGGACGTGCTAAATCTAAGGAGAGACATTATTATGCTAAGTGAAATAAGCTCAAGGCCAGCTCCTGCAGGATTCCCCTTTCGTGAAGGATCTCCAGTAGTGGGTGCTCCCAGGGCCTGGTAGAAGGAGGAGCTTCTCATTTGGGAAAGATGATAAAGTTCTAGAAATAGATGCACGACAATATGAATGTACTCATGCACTGAATTGTGCAGGTAAAAATGTTTAAAATGGTAAAGTGGGTGTTACACATACTTTCCCACAGTATAAAAAAATCACAAAAGGAAAAGCTTTGGGAAATGAATACAGTCTTCCCCACAACCTGGATGTAAGACACATGCTGATCCTGGCGTGCTTGGTCTCCCTATATTGGCTGCTGGGTGCATTGTGAAGTCGGCTGACAAAGCTGCAAGGCAATGATGCCTCTAGCTCTAAGATCAGTGTGGGCTGGTCTTGCTGCACACTTGAATCTGGAAGTCGGTATTGGTGGACGGTCCGCCTGTACGTGGTACACACGTTAAGTGTCCTCTTTGGTGTGTGTGGGGGCCAGCACTCCTGCGCAGTGGACATTCCGTTGTCAGGAGCAGCAGGCGTGGTAGCCCACCTGTAAGCTCAGCACTCGGGAAGCCTGAGGCAGGAGGATCACGCGTGGGAGCCTGGCCTGGGCACCTCAGTGAGCCCCAGCCGCCTCCAAGCCCTGCTTCTGTTGCAGCGCCCAAGCCCGTGGAGCCCGAAGTGCCGTCGCCCGCGTCCTCGCATCACAGCGGCACACAGCCGGCCTCGCTGGCCGAAGGGAAG